TCGGTCTTGAGGCAGTATTTATCACCGTTTCGCGTCAATTTCCGCAGGGCCCGGGATTTTCATCCGTTAGTTAGTTTGCACATTTTTACAAAGCTTGTGGATTAGAGGGAGATTTGCCACCGTGCGATCTTGATACCAGAACGGCGGTGGATCCTGGTGTTGGTTTAGTTTTACCTAGGCTTTCTGATGGAAACGTCGGACTCATTCTCAGTTCGGGAGACCTTGCCGGGAGACGAATCCCACCGCCTTACATCGCAGTCCAACACCCAGGATCACCTCTCAGCCACGATGGCGCGGTATACCGTTAGGAGGAATTGTTCAACTATACTAACTAAAGTTGAAACCATGAACACATTTATTATGGAGTAAACATTTCTGATCGTAGAACAATCTCCTTAGGACTTCGAATTTCGTTAATTTGCTTATCGCTGATTTATGTATTTATATGATATTTGGAACACTTAGAATCTAAGCAGCAGTAGCATGGATGGGAGCGGTTAGGATATGTAGCTCATCGTACTGACTCAACGCCGTTATTCGTTGATGCTTCGTTCAAATTTATTCAAAACAACAATAGAGGAGTACTCACTGGATTCAGCATGTAGCAGTACGATTATATTTCGTGCATTTGGTAAGACTGTCATCCTTTGATTCAACCGAGCAGTGACTTCACGAAAATGCTTGAAAGCTTCTGGTGTCTGTTCGTATGGGTTTCTTCTTGTTCGAATCGATTGCTGAGTAGAGTTTCATGGTTGGTTTCATGAACTATCCTGAAACCCTTTATTTGCCCATTTTTTCGATTATGCTGTGCTGTAGTTAGCGTTGCTTTATTATGCACATAGCCGCAGATCATTTCCGCGCCAGAGTCTGGCAAAATATAACACAAAGTACAAATTAGCCGAAGAGGATGGAAAATACCGACTTGGTATCACTAGACACCCTCGAGTATACATTTCATTCTATTTTCACATTATCAGGGAATAATCAACGCCCAGAGCTTTATTCTTCAACATTTATCCTTTTACCGAAGGCAGAGTTTTCGGATAGCTAGCTGATAACATTTATTATTGCGTAACCTTTAGCGCCAGTACTACCTCACAACTAAAATTATATGTGTAGATCTAAGCGTCCTTGCAAATACTGGCTCATTTTTACGAATTTTTTTGCTTACCCTCTGCTTAATCTTTGAAATCTATGGATTCTCTTGAAAGAGAGTTATTTAATCGTTAAGGTGCATTATGTCCTCTGTGGTGGGCGAGAGTGGCTGAGACGCGGACCAGAAAAGTCTTCCTAAAACCTAGGTGGACTCAACGACGGATTCCTTCGCTGATGAGCAAAACATATCGGCCTCGATACGTACGAGGTGTGTATCCTGGATGTCGACTCAGCCAAAAACCGGAGGCAGTTAAGGGGAGCCTCCAACACTTATCTCCAATAGATCCTTCCATGCCTAGCGTTACAATACGCAGCTGCTTATGACGCATATAGATCTACATGGGAACTCTGTCTTGTCAGCAGAAATAGAGAATCACTTAAAGAAATATGTAGCCTAGGTACTCATAGAGCAGCAGTGTCTGCTGGACAGTTCTCAGCGGAAACGAAGGTGGTTTTTGCTGTTGGCTACCCAATACCTGTTGCCACTATAAAAATAGCCGTACTACCCGCATTACAACAGAACCATTATATGAATGTGTCGTTTTCTTGTTCAGCAATCGCGAGGTTTTTAAACAGCATGCATTTACTTCCATAAAAACACAATACAATACAACGCTAGCTGACGTTTCGGCAGTATCGCCTTCTTCAGAGCCGCTTTTTCGTGACTTCCAATGAGGAAGTTTAGAACAGCTGATTATAGTCGCAGTCGTCAACCACATGCGACTATAATCAGCTGTTCTAAACTTCCTCATTGGAAGTCACGAAAAAGCGGCTCTGAAGAAGGCGATACTGCCGAAACGTCAGCTAGCGTTGTATTGTATTGTGTTTTTATGGAAGTAAATGCATGCTGTTTAAAAACCTCGCGATTGCTGAACAAGAAAACGACACATTCATATTCCAATGCCGAGGTTAAGAGAAAGTCGATCTTGGGAACTATTACAAGAACCATTATAGTATTACTGTTGTGGGAAACTGTTATCAATTATTTAACCAGAAGAAATAAACATGAAATGGGTTCGGAAGTGTAGGAGTCACTGGTGCTTTTTGTTAAACAGTACATTTAGTTTGCCCACCATTCTATTATAACGTGCAACGGATATACTTACAGAAAACAATGAAAGTCATTTGAAGGCCAGCAAAGACAATTTTAGTTCACTACCATAACATTTGTCATGAAATAGTAGACGTGTGAAAACAAATTGACTCATTTTCTTTTCGACTGTTTATTTTGTCATAATTTATTTACATTATTGTTGTGGTAAACAATGGCCAAGAGTATAAGCGCATACGAATATACATACGTACAGATGTTGATGCACAAAAACGCACACATCTATATATGTACATATTAATATATATATAATAAACGTATATGCACACATAATATACGAAAAATTCATTGACTTGATGGTAAATTGATAACTGTACAGTTGAATTTCATAGGTTGGCACTAAAGCGGTTATCACAAAGAGTAGTAGCTTAATAAGGCCTCCTCACAGTTCGCAGAGCGAGAAGGAACTAAACCAGGATCAATGTTATACCTTTTTATTTTCTGCCTACTATAATTTCGCGGCAGGGTACTAAGCGAAATACAACCACAATGTTGCTGAGATATTTGCAAAACTCTGGACCGTAGGTGTCTATGGTGGGGAACGAACGCGCTATTGTCCTTTCTGGGGAGTAACGCGTTCACCACCACACCATGCGGGTTTTTGTTTCGCCTCTCTCTCAGCTATTTCTATCGATCTTTGCCAGGGTAAACCAGGATCGTGCTCGTGATGAGCGGCATCCCTACCATTGTACTATCCGCCCCATTTCTGTCCTATCTACGACTCTCATTACCTTTTTTACGATACTGTTTTATTTCTTTCTTTGTTGTTTCCTTTTATTTCTTAACTTCTGTTTTTACAGAACTCAATTTTATTTTATATTTTTGATTAATCCAACAGTCAAATAAATTAAATGTCTTCTTCCATTCAGGTCCTTTCCTTCGTATCGATCATTCACGAAGGTCTTCAGACTTTCTCGGTGTAAGTCCTGCTACTGCTTGAGGAGTTTCATTTTATCACACATGTCGTTTTATTTTGGTGGAGTCGATTCTCTCTAGAGATCTGGAAAGCCGGCAAAAGCTCTACCACTAGAGTTACAGAAATTATCTTTTTTTCAGGAAAGTCAGGCATCAATTTCATGACAGCGGAGAATGAGAGGTGTGGTGTGCTCGATGTGAGGGCGAACCAATATGTGGTTGTGATTATCTGCATCACTACCACTACGCCACTCGAACCGTTAAACTATTTATACGGTGTCTTAACCTTTATTTACTGCCTACTCTTTTCTCATGGCAGGGTACTGTCTGAAATACAGCCACAATGATTCCGAGATATGAACGCCGAACGCTAGGTGGACTTGGAACGTGCGATTATTCTCGCCTGGGACTCAACTTTTATCCGCCACTCTAAGCTATGCCCTTGTTCTTTCTCTTTCGGCCACAAAAAAGAATCGGTAATAAACAAACTTTAACTGTGATTCTACTGCAACTTCGGCTTAACTGGAGTCAGTTCCACCTGAATAAACATTCCGGTTGACGTATGATTGCTGATAGCATCGATAGAGTAAAACCACGGAAGACGGAATGGCATAGCAAGAACCTTGGTTGGTGTTGTGTGTAGCACATGAGCAGCCGGTAAGAGTAATAACACCTTCGAAGCCCAGTTGAAGTTCCAGGTTTTGTTCATATCTCAGCATCGTCATGGTCATTTAACTTTCGAACTGTTCTTTCGAATTCAAATATGCTCGAAGAAAATTTCGAAAGTAGTATTAAAAAGATTTAGGTTTATGAAGCTCCTAGCCAGAGACCGGTAGCTGCGAACATGAAGGATACAATGGAAACATCGCATCTTGCTGAAGGAAATTGAAAGGAATTAGGTTGTTCGGAAATTAACGGAGGATTTAAAGCTGTAGCTAGAAAGTTACATATTTTGCTTCACTTCACTGAGCTGGAACTCAAAAAGAAGAACACCGGTATGAGTACAAATCTTTATTTCTTCCTTACTATTTCTTTATGGCAGGTTATTCTAGCGATGCCGAAATATTTGCAAAACTCCCTCCTCTGGGAAGATGTGAACCCGTGACAACTCCTTCCGGCTCACGTGCTACTCACTGCACCACTGAGGGGCTTGACTTACCTTCCTCTCGGTCAGTTTATCACGCTGACTCGGTGTGAATGTTTTGATAGTAATAAATTCAAACAATGGATAATGGATGAAAAATACGTTTTATTAGGCACAAGGTGCGTTGTCACCCTCTTCTAGCAAGCCGTGTTGATACTAATGACAACATCTTAAGTCACAATGTTATTTTCAAGGGATGATTTAACCAGAGATCAGATCGTCATAGCCAACAATCTTAAAACTATCGTCCACAGATGGTCATCTTCGGGTGCGGAATATACCGAAAGTTGTGAAATCCGTAGACTTATATTCTGATTTACATACTGGAAAATGCCGGATAGAGATTTTTGCTGAAAATCCGGCATAACTGTGCTAAAGCTTTCCAAATCCGTCATCACTGGCACATAAAGATGTTTGTGCAACGAAGAGAGATTTGTTGGCGTGTGACTCGGACTCTCTTAGCAAGAGTGCATACCTATATCGGCAAGAAGTTCTGCGTTTAGTTGAGCGACCGCTCGACGAAGTATCAACCCAACTTAGTCTCCAGCTCTCTATCCATCTCTCTGATAGAACTCAATGGTTTGTGTTTTCTGTGGATAATCACTGATACCAACACTCCTTGATGATAACGTCCTACTGTAAAGAGAGATATTTTTGGAAACATTTAATTTCAGCATGAGTTCGTCCAGAGTGGTCGATGAATCGCGGACTGCCAGCGGTAAGGGTGAACCGACCGAAGGGTTTACCTATTGTGAGTTATGTTTGCTGTCACTTTTTAAAATTTGTCTAAGTAGACAACTAACAGCTTTACATGCTTCGTTCTCCGTCATTCTTTTCGATGAAACATCATTACGGACGTACACAGGATTTTTCTTATTAAAACCAGTAGTTTGACTAACACATGTATTGATTGGGGCAAGTGTTTATGTTAACAGTTGGTTTAATAATACTTTCGCTTCTGTGCTTAGTATTTTCAATATTTATAATGGATGATCTTTAAGAAACAGATGACATGCAATGGAATATGACCACCGATCTCAAGTAAAACCTCAGGATCGGTGTTTGTTCCGTTGACAGAGGTGCGCAACATGGTGTAGTATCCATACAATATGGTGCGTATATGTTTGTCCTGGCACCATTCACATCCTATGCAACCCGAGATCTCCTTTCATCGGTTGTCCAAGCGCACAACATAGCAGACGTCGGCGAACAGTGCTCGAGAAACTGGGGTTGGTTTATTCTTGGTTGTGCTGCTTGCGAATTACTGGAGCCTCTAGTCTGGCATAGTTAGAGCTTTCTCTAGGTTATCACTGCAGGCGATTGTCGGAGGAGAGCAAAATTGGTTACTTTACTCCTACCCCTAGCGGGTCTTGTGCACGGACATGTCGAACTTTTCATCTTGCAACATCCAGCAAAGAGTAATCCATCGCCATACACTGCAAAGCACTCGTAGCGCAGTTGTTAGAGAAGCTCTGCTACACATTCATGATCGCTGTTTCGTTTCCATGCACCGGGCTCACCAAACCCTCCATCCTCTCGAGTTAGGCAAATGGGTACCAGACTCATCTGGAAGGATAGCAGCACTAACGATGTGGATCGGTTAGCACCCGCAAGTCGATGTACAATCCAAATATACATTTAATCCACCTTAACGACATTTAACGAAGTCGAGTGAATGGCGTGCTCCTCAGGAATTGATCAACTCTGGCGGCTCTATCCTTTATCATTTTAGACATAGCCGATAACGATGACGATGACGTAGATAACGTCAATAATAAATAAAGGGCGCGCGTGGCGGAATGGTTGGAGGCGCCACTCCGACACACACGTGGAATCGATCCCCGCACCCATGGCCCATCAAGCCTTCCATCCCTCCGAGGTCGGCAAATTGGTACCAGAGTTGTCCGGGAGGATAGCAACGCTGGTTCGATACATCGATATGCCAATGCGAGTCATTGTAAAGGCCAGATATGCATTCAGTCACCTCCAACGATGTTTAATGAAGTGGAATGCATAACGTCTCCCAGGGACTGATCACCGCCGACAGGTTTGCCTTTTTTATTTTAACAAATAAAGTAGACGTGGTCACTTCAAATATGACGCGTGAATCGTAATGGCGCTGAGCCTTGAAAAAACACAGATTCGGCATGCACTCTACTTCATTCATGGCATCGTCGATGTTTATTTAAAAATATTTCGCCTTGTAAATATCATATTAATGTTAATATATTAATTATATATTAAAATATTTTAGTAAAATGCAAGGCCTATCGATGTACGAAGTCGATCTTTTATTCTTCGAGACTAGTCTGGTTCCAGTTTTACGACTATCTTAAAAACTCAATACTGGTTTTGTAAGAAAACAATCGAGTGTTCTTTATAAACAGCGATGTTTTTAATATTCTGCTACCTCCTAATAAGAAAACCCCGCACGTCGATTTTCTTAATCATGAAGAGACTATCCCTCGGGTTGAGATTGTTATATACGACGGTGGATGACGTTCGCAATATTTTAAAGTTGTCGCTACGAAGTGTTGAAGATGATAATGTCGCTTCTCAGCCGCGTGGTCACCAGCTCCTACCACACATCGTTCAACGGCCGCCGTCTTATTGGCGGTACTGTCGGCGATCTTCATGTTCATATTCGGTGTACTGTTCGGCGCTTTACTTCACTCTATCCTCTTTTCGAATAAAGCATCTCAACTGGTGTGTTCAATTTGTACCTTTTTAATCTGTTTATTAGTTACGTGTACAAAAATATAATAAATAGCTCTTGGCCCATTCATGACCATACCTATTTTTAGAAAATGTCAAGTGAAATAAAACATCCTACAGAATATTTTACGCTAGGTAGTGAATAATAATTCCTGTATAAAAGATTCTACCAGAAACGTTGTGGTCCCAGTACTAGGTACAGTGGAGTGAATTAATGCAAGTAGAATCCATGTTTACCTTTTGTATACCTATCTTCCGGTAGCCCTCGACATATGAATTCTCAACTGGCGAAATCTATCAATACATATACTTTATATTGCAAAGAGAAAAAGAACTGGTTATGAAGGAACAGAAATTATTTCTTGGCAGCAATTCAAAGTACTTCATTCTTCGTACGAAATTCTGAGATATTTGCAAAACTCCGGACCACAGGTGCATGCAGTGGGGAACGAACACGCGCTGTTGTCCTTACCGTTTTCCCTACTTCATTCTTCGTTTTTCTTTTTCCATGCTACCTATCAGAATCTCAAACCATTTACGTAAGCCCACTATGTGTCTTGGCTGCTGAATTCTTAGAATCGATTTCCGAATCCTAATAATGGTGTGATTTTTCACGGAATTTAGGCTCTCATGAATTCGACAGTGTGCGACCCAAATGCCGTGCCTCCGCCATGCGACCAATGGTCTCTGTCGGAGTCTCACGACAATAAGGTGGAGACGTTAACCACTGACGCCTATAGGTTGCTCAAACAGAAAGACTGTGCTGGTTTTCCATGGAAAAGCTTCAGGTGCTGCACATAATAATTAATAATAACGCTTGGTCTTCTTAGCAGTGTATTTATTTGGCCCCATATCGTAAATCTTTGTATAGTTGTAGAAGTACCGAAGGCAGTACTTGCTTATACATGGGGCCTGAACCATTAGAGATAAATGTTGTTTGGTTCAAAATTTGAGAGACATTTCCGATAAGGGTAGTATTTCTTCTACATCCATCATCCTTTATTGACCACTGTCGACTCGATTTGGCGATCCTCAGTGCGTCTCCATGCCATAGTGGGTCCTTGGCCGAAATGCCAATATATGTTTCATCTCCTTTGTCTAGGTCTTCATAAATGATGTGTAGACAGATAGCTTGTATCTTAATAGAATGTTTATCTCCATTAAAAATATTTATCTGCGTAGGTGAACTTTAACCAGAGCAGAGGCATTTTACATTTTACAGGCATTCGATATGCTGAACTACAAAATTGGCTAGTGAGAAAGTAGAAAACTAGTTGAGAGAAAAGCAGAGCGAGGGTCTCCGAGGTGCAGTGTGTAATCGCGAGCCCACGGAAAGGGCAATCGTGGTTCGATTCGATTTTTTTTGACACACATGTGGAGTCGAACCCCGCGCTCGTGGTCCACCAAGACTTCCATCTTTCCCGGGTTAGAAAATTGGTACCAGACTTCTCTGGAGGGATAGTAGCACTGGCTCGATATTTCGGTAGGCCACCGCTAGTTAATGTCCAGGCCATGTATGCATTCAATCACCTCGAAACGATGCTTGATGAAATCGAATGCATGGCGCATCCCTCAGAGATTGATCAACGCCGTGAGCTTTATCATTTTGTTCATCCTTTAAGCCCTGCCGTGAAAAATCGTATTGGGTAGGAATTAAAAGGTTAGCATTATGAAATTAGTAGTTGGTAATATTATGCTATAGGAATACAAGAAGATAAGCTTGGAATGGGACATTTAGTTGAGATCTCACCTAGTCAATTACTGTTTTTACAAGACCGACTATCTCAGGTTGCCACGAGATATCGCTCCAAAATCTTATAATCTAACTATTCATCCAAATATTGCAGCGAATAAATTGACAGGGAATGTCGTCATTAATATTGAGGTCAGTTTTTTTCTTTACTTGGTTTCTAACTAAATGCAGGAGTTGTCGAAAACTCCTGTAAACCATTGCAGCAACCGACGATGAAACGTTGACGATTTTTCTTTGTTCCGATAGAAAAGCAGACTAAAAGCGATACTAACTCTGAACAAATCAAGCTTCTCCGCCATCGGCGACGTTTTTCATTGGATGCTTCCCGAAATTTCCGGATTTTTAATCGCGGGTGTTATAATCTTCCCCATGCAGGTTTTGAAAATGACAAAGCTGATCGTCTTACATTATAACAAAATCGTCATGAAGACATTCACCATAATGGTCGACTCAAAGCGAATGGATACTAAATTTGTATGTTTTTTTTTTCACTGTGTTCAAAAAACTGCTAGATAGCATTTAACGAGATGATATTTGTTAACAGCAGGTGACCGCAACAAATACTATTTATTAGCTCCATCGATGGAATCAATCACGCCGGAATCACTTGACACTTGAATGGCCCATCCTGAATGGTTGTGCGGGTCCCAGCATAATCTCCATTTTTCGGAGACTTGCTGGTAAAGCCATCGTTGCTCCCTGGAATGTCAAGGTTGGCCTAACCAAAGTCTGTCCCAGGTCTTCACCACCACGGGCACTCACAGCGCTTGTGGATTTGAGGGAGATTTGCCACCATGCCACTAATTTGATACCAGGATGGTGGTGTATCCTGGTATTGGCTTACTCTTAGCTAGGCCTTCTGATGAAAACGCCGGACTCCTTCCCAGTTTGGGAGACCCTGCCAGGAGATGAATCTCCCGTTGTACATCGCAGTCCGATACCCAGGAACACCTCCTATCCACGGTGAGGCGGTAAACCGTTGAGAGGATCGATGGAATCACTAACGGTTAATTTGGTTAATCAGTGATAGAAAAATAAAAGTGCAAAACGTTCGATGTTGATGAAGCCCTTATGGATATGCCATGCATTAGACTCCATTCGAGAAGTCGTTGAATACCCATTTGGCACACAGTGGGATTTGGTGGTCTACCATTTTAACGCGCGTGTGGAGCAGTGCTCAGATGCGCTCCGTAACACACACGTGGAATCGATACCTGCGCGCGTGGCCCACTAATCCTTTCATGCCTCCGAGGTCGGTAAATTGGTACCAGAGTTATGGGAGAAGAGAGCAGCGCTGGCCCGATTCATCGGTAGGCCACCGCGTGTCATTGTTAAGACCAGATATGCATTTAATCACCTTTAAACGACGCTTAATGAAGTCAAATGCATGGCGTATCCCTCAAGGGTTGATCAACGGCGAGAGCCTTATCCTTTTTTTTTACCATTTTGGCATTTCATATCCTCTCGGAATGTCTGGTACTCCGGCAATGCTTTGCTGATCCAGGGACGGTGTAGGATTTGGTACAGCATAGGATTTAGCACAGAACGTGAAGGGGAACTAACGAAAATGTGTGTATTGAAGGGCACTTCTACACAGTGCGCACCATTTACTGATAATACGAGAAATAATCGCCACAACCAATAAAACCTATCTACTTGTTTTACAGTCGACAGGCTCCATGGTACACAAATAAATAAAAGTAGAAAGCTTTCGGCGTTGATCAATCCTTAAGGGATACGCCATGCATTCGACTTCAATAAACATCGCGAGGTGATTGAATGCGTACCAGACTTTTACAATGACTCGCAGTGGCTTACTAATGTATCGAGCCAGTGCTGCTATCCTCCCAGACAAGAGGCTGGAACATAAATAGGCCATCCATTTAGCCCCTTCTGGTGTCAGAATTGCCCACACGGGTGCATTCGTTATTCCTATCTGTGCTAAAGTAGTGAAATCGTTTAACAGGCTTTTGTCTCCTATATGCCAGGTTATTAATGCCTTTTGTTCCGTGGCATAATCACATTTATTTATCCTTGAGGCAACGGATAACAACAAGGAAGACCATTTCGAATATGCTATAAGAAGCAGGTGTCTTTCTGGCCGAACTCTAGGATGATTCGGTGAACTGCTGGTAATTATTGTTTTAGGGTGGCAAGTACTAAAAAGGCATTGAAAAATATGAACTACACATACAAAAAGTGTGTTTGCCTTCTTCATCCTCCAGTTGAACCCCACTCATTGAGCAGCACTCATGTCCGACAGAAGGAAATGAGAGTCTTATCCTCGTCTCCTCAAATCTTGCGACGATTATCGAGATAGTTGACAACATCGATGCTTTCTTAAATTTAACTCCATGGGGACTCTCACTAGGCGCGATATAGCCTCGTTACTGGCCAGACAGTAAGCGATATTTAAAGTATGTATTTTGAACTTATTAAAGATAATAATCAAAGTAGATTCATTAAATTCAAAGTCGTTAGTAAGGGAAAATATTGGAAGGATTAATTTTGCAGCACGTCTGTCCGAAATGGTCGCAGTGGGCATTTGTACTGGATGCTAAACTGGTGCCCGGTGAATTCGTGCAGCTTGGAATCGAATTTAAAGGTGAAGTGCTGGCTGACATGAGTGGACTCTACATATCTACGCATACAGATTCATTTGGCAGGCGGCTGTAAGTTCATTCGAGTAATTCAAGTAATCGACCGACTTCAAGTAGTCGACTAAAATCACTTGAAGACAGCTCTGTGTGTTGACAATGTAGATAGAGCGTCATTCAATTAGGTCGCCGCAAAAATTACTCAAACAATCATTTCTACTGAGATTTTCAGCAATTAGTTCTCGATATTCTTGTTGAGTATACATGAGGTGTTACTTCATTCTTTATTCCACTAAGGCTGGTGTTTCGGCAGTATCGCCTTCTTCAGAACCTGGAATGGTATACTGATAGGCAATTTACTATGTCAAACGCTAAAATAACACGCGCAGAAAGATAAAAATCTAAATCGATCAACAGCTTCTCGCGGACGTTTTGGAATGAGGATACAAAAGCATTGCGGTGATGATTTTGATATAAAAGTCACTATCCTCGCAGAGGACGCGAAAACACTAACGCGCAAACGTCTTGAGAGTTTTTGGATAAATGGCAGGAGCCCTGGAATGAATAGCAAGGAGGAATGCCCGGAGATCGCAAGGAAATCGCCCGTACCTTCGTATCGACTTGTGATGTGGGGTGGTGCATTCATCGACCATATGCGACACTGATTAGCCGTTTTTCCTGGGTGAAAGGCACGTAATAAACGGTGGGCTTTCCGAGTAGCTGTTGATCGTTTGATTGCACTTTAGATTTTCATCTTTCTGTATGTGTCACTGAAGCGTTTGACATAGTAAATTGCTTATCAATATACCCTTCCAAACTCTGAAAAAGGCGATACTGCCGAAACGTCAGCTTTAACGGAGTGAAAAAATAAAGTAACACCTCGTCTTTGCTCAATAAGAATATGGAGAACTATTTGATCAATGCTGAGGTTAATAGAAAGTCGGTCATGGGAATTGTTATGGGCAATTTAGCGCTCCGGTAAGGATTATCGATCTTTCGCCTATCCTTCCTCGTCTGAACCTCTTTCAGCCTTTAGACTTCCAAAAAATGTCTGAAAATAAACAGTTTCGAGTTACAACTTTGATTCACTTCAGGCAATCGGCCGTCACACAGTTCGAACCGACCGACGCACGGAAAATGTTTCCGTGTTTCGACGAGCCGAATTTCAAAGCAACCTTTCAGGTGACTCATCTTTTGGAGATAACTTTCTTAAAAGTCCGAAAATTTTTGTTCTTTGATGAATACTTTGAAATGGAAGATTTTTCAATATTTTAAAGTTGTCCGTTATTCGTGAGCCTCATCACGTCGTAATTTCCAATACGCCAATAAAGGAGTCCAAGACATTCGGAGACCGGTAGGGTTTTATCCCATTATAAATATGAATAATGAAAATGAAATAAATACTAAAATGAATAGTTCCCAGGATCGACTTTCTCTTAACCTCGGCATTGGAATATGAATGTGTCGTTTTCTTGTTCAGCAATCGCGACGATTTTAAACAGCATACATTTATGGTGGGGAACGAACGCGCTATTGTCCTTTCCGGGGAGTAGCGCGTTCGTTCCCCACC